GTAAGCTTTTTCTAAATCAATAAAAATCAAATGTAGATTCTCCTTATTATCTTTGAACTTCTCCATCAACCCTCCCAATAAATATATAGCTTCCATAGTAGACCTGCCCTGCATAATTCAAAATTGATTATGAAAAATTTTTGTGATATGACTTAACCTATGTTCAATTACCCTCTCCCATAACTTTAAAATATGACACATCAACTTAATTCCTCTCAAATTTGCACACTCTTGTGCATCCCCTTTATTCTTAAAAATGGGGACCAAAATACTCTTCCTCCACTCCTCAGGCATCTTTTTAGTTTTTAAAATAATATTAAAGAGTTTAGTAAGCCAAGAAACTTCCAAATCTCCCAAATATTTCCACACTTGAATTGGGATATCATCAGGTCCTACAGACTTTCCACCCTTGGTTTTCTTTAAAACCTCCTCAACTTCTTTTTTCCAAACGCGACGGTAAAAATGAAAAGTTTTATTATTATTCACAATATTAAGATCACTAAGGTCGATCGTATTTTCAGAAACTTCATTAAAAAGTTTATCAAAGTAACTCACCCACCTATGTTGAATATATTTTTTTAAGAAAAGTACTTTTTTATTTTCATCTTTAATACACTTTATTTGAGTTAAATCTTTACTTTTCCTTTCTCCTTTTTTGGCTAGATTATACATATATTTTTCACTTTCCTTAGTATCTAATCTATTATAAAGATCATTAAAAGCAAAATTTTTAGCGTCACAGATTGTTCTTTTAGACTCCCTGCGAGCCGTTTGATATTTTTTGCGGGCCGTTTGATATTTTTCTTCCTAGTTCTCTAAGCTTTTACATTTAAACTAATTTTTATAACATAACTTCTTATATTTTATCTTTTCTTGCTCATTATTATTTCACCACTAACTATTTTTATTATAAAAACTATATTTTATATTGTCTTTCACTAAGCATTTAAAATTTAAAAGTTTCAGAGGACGACATAACTTAAAAATAAGTTCTAATTAGTGAGAAAACTGTGTGATTTAATTATTGTTCAAGCATCCGCTAGTTCTCATGTAATTTAATTGGGCATTTCTACGGGTTCTGTAAATAACTTCTTGTTGCAGTTTCAATTGTATTTTCTTAAAGCCTCTTAACTTCCTGTAACTTAATTGACGTTTCTGTTTGATAATGCGACAGCTTGAGCTTTTTCTTAGCTCTGCAACAGTTGCTCTTTCCATCTACGCATTAGTCGCTGGAATTTTTGGGATGAATATACCATATTCATGGAATAATAACCATGGTTATGTCTTCAGACTGGTAAGTATTTTTATGCTAAAGATCAATATGTGTGTGTGTGTGTGATTTTTTTTTTTTTTTTTTTTTTTTTTTTTTTTTTTTACTTTTTTGTATGAAATAAATTCATTATAAGTCTACATATCATGAAAGTTATATGCAAGGCGCACTTTCAAAATTGTTAACTTGTTAGTTTCCCTTAAAGGCTCTTGCATGGATTTTAAATTTAAATTTAGTAAATTAAAATATTATATTATAACTATATGAAATTCATAAAATCTATAGTCTAATCATTTAATCAATTTATTTTAATGCTAATTAGTTACAACTCTTGTAATGCCATAAACAAATCTTACTATAATTTTACCAAGCAACCATACACTTTATCTGGCAATACAACATAATAATTAGCATCATAACACAACACAACACCAATTCTAATTGTCTGCAAAAGTAACTACATAATTATTGTGGTAAACGCAGGATTTCTATATATATATATATATACTTACAACCACACTAGAAAATTTGATGGTAAACAGTTTATTCTCACGAAAAAAAAATCTAAAAAAAAACAGTGAAAAAAAACCATAGCCAAATTAGTGTTGCAGCTGTCTATAAAATTGTCATAAAAAAAATTGCAACAATGCCAAATTAAATTTAAAATTGCAAATATTTACTTTTCTCTGCCCTGCAGGTGGTGATCATCTCAGGTATAGCATCTGCTCTACTTTTTGTTGCAATCATTGTATATGCTCGTCAGAAAGGTCTTGTTGGCTCTTGATTTTGTAGCATGTTGAAATAGTTAGCAGCCAATGGGATAATAAATTCATAGGCTGTTCATACCATTTCAGTTTATACCTCCTTTACCATTGTTGTTGTGATATGGCTTAATTCTTGTAGTGATGCATCCTTTTTAGGAGCTACATACATTAGCGGTACAAACACAATACTAGAATAGGATATTTTTTCTTTTGTAATGTGATAATGTAATCAAACCATGCTCAATAATTTCATATAATTGCTGATTGTCATTTCATCATGCTTTTTTGAGTTGTAAAATAGTGGTTTTTGGACGACAAAACTTAACTAGAGTTGGATCACACAAACTTATTATTAATGCACTTTTCTTCTCATGATTGAGTGTAGCAATCTATCAATAACAAAATATAAGTTTAGTTTTCATAACAATGCACTTAATGAAGGCATTTTCATGATCAATATTCTTGAAGTTGTAACTAATTAAGTAATTATTGAAAACAATATTGGTAGAGTTCTATGAATTTTTAAAAAAAAAGTTATTAATATGGTTCTAACAATTTAGTATCAATCGCTTTCGGCTCATTTTGGCTATAGTTTTTGATCAATTTGTTATTATAAGCTGCAAAATCAAATACTATGGTTAATGTATATACATGTAAAAATATTTAGATGGGATTTGCAAATTAAATTTAATGTTTTAAATAAAATAAATTATTTTTCTAAAACTTATTTCAACTTCTTATGTGTGCTCGAATATTAAACAAAAATTTGATGCATAAAATATGAGTTTAAAGACAGTTCTTGGAAGAAATGGAACTTTTTTGCACGTTAAGTCGGCCGAGGAATAAATCATTGTGTTTGGCTTGTGTCAAAAATGAAGGATAGCATTCTTATATATTTGGAGGAATTTAGTAGAATATAGCAAAATAGACTGGATATTTTTGTCATGCTGAACGCAGAATTCTTGAGATTTCGGAGTTACATCAAATGTCGTTGGGTGTTTGTCTCAATCAACTAACTAATAGAAGAGGATCCTCGAGCATTAGATGTTGATAATTGATGGTTATCAAATGCAAATCATTTGTAGTGTCAGGCAGTCAGCTAATTCATTCTTCTTAGAAGATAGGAGGCTGATGATTAAGAAGATAGTTGTTGGACGTACATCGTCGACTAGCTAACATCAAATATTAGTATTTGATGGATGATGATTAGGTAGGAGCATCAAATCTCATCTGAATTAGTAGTTTGCTCAATTGTTCTCCTCATAAGATTAACGGCGAACAGCTAGGAAACATGTATTGATCGCTGATAGATGCTGCATATTTGCAAGTATGAAATAATACTTTACTTCTAGAGAGAGCAATAGGGCAGCTCACAGCTAGAATATTAGGCTTAACTTTTTCAAAAAGATATGCATATGAGGGATAAATCTTTTTATTGACACACGCATAATTGCATCTTCTTTATGTATTTCTTTTATTAGATGAATACGAAAGGCAAGTATAAAAAATAATAGTTGATCGGGAATGCTATGCGATGATTAGTGGGTTGTTCAATCATTCTCGTTAGAAAAGGATAGACTTACAATTAAAAAAAGAAATTTTTTTTGTGGCAATTGAATCCAAATGGACCTAAATAGAACACTCAAAAATATAATTAAAATTTTTACAATCCTATCCTATATGTAGGACAAAACCAAACACTCGCTAAGATACAACAAATAAGCCCAACATCAATCATTTCAAATTGTATATAAACATGAATTTAAGACGATCAAAACTTCCATTAAAGCAACCGAATCAATTCATCGAAAACCAAAAATTTCCAATGATTTGATACTGAAAAGCAGCCATTACATTCATTTGTGTAAACTTACATGTTTTTATATCATCCATTAAGAGCTCCAAAACCATCTCAAGCATCAGCCGAATCACTGCCAGAATCTCTGTACATTTCTATTGCATTCTCATCATCACTTCCACCATCAAATCTTTGGGCTTTGTCTGAGGATTCATCATCCTCTACTGCTTTACCATTTATTTTCGATATCCGGTCTCTGAGTTCTCTCAACTTGGCTTTTTTGGAGTTCAGGACATCAATAAACTAGCAACAAGAATGAAAATTAAGCGGATAAGTTGTAATCTGAAACAACTCACAAACATATGATAAGCATATCCAATTGATGCTACAATTAAAATTTCATTTATTGGTAGAAAAAACTCAGTTCAAGAAACCATATGCCAATATAAGGTAAGAGATTTTGGGGGATTAATGTACATAAGACACAATTCTAACAAAATTTACATATCTAACACCTAAACTTCAATATTTGTTATATAACATTCAAATCTTGGACAGCACTTAGGGCTGTCAAAAAAACTCGTTATTCGCGAACAACTCGTGTTCGGCTTGTTAAGTAGCTCATGTTCGGCTCGTTTGTTAAGTAAATGAGCCGAACACGAATAATTTTTTAAGCTCGAATTATAAACGAACATAAATGAGCCGAACACGAATAGCTCTTTCTCCGCTCGTGTTCGGCTCGTTTTAGCTCAAAATAAAAAATTTATATAATTATTTATATAATAATATATTACATATAGTATTTATATAATAATATATTATATATATTTATATCTAAGTTTAAAACGTAACTGCTCGTGTGGTAATGTGGTTATGTGTCTTCTTTTGCGTACATTTGGTCCAGGTTCGAATCTTACACTCTACATCTATTTTTTTAGTTTAATTTTAACGAGTCAATTTCGAGCAGAACACGAGCCAAACACGAAAACGAATATTTAAATCGACTTGAACACGAACACACTGTTCACGAGTTGGTTTCGAACACGAGCCGATTTCAAGCACGAACAATTTTGAACGAGCTGAACATGAGCCAAGCCTGAGCTGGCTCAAGCTCAACTCGTTTACAGCTCTAACAACACTACAAACTTTTATAAAGCAAATACATATTTTTATGCATAAATTTGATGTAAAATGTTATGCATATAAACATCAAATTTTAAGGGACAGATATGTAAATACATAAGAATAGTGTGCTGTCTATGTAAGTTTCGCTAAAATTTTATCTGTGGTGAAGTAATTTCAATGCAATTTTGCATTGCAGGTTTTGGTTTCTCTCTGAATATCAATATGCAATGATAGATGAAATTTCAGAGCCTTTGACTGTAGTGTTTAGAAGAATCTGAAGCTCTAGAAGTGAGGGATTGAGTAAAGCTTCTTTTTATCATTCCAACAGCATTCCGGATTTTAATCTAATTAAAGATATTGACAATCAAATATTTTTCAAAGATTAACACTTCTAAAGATTTATTGAATCTGAATTTATAAGATTTAGGAAAATGTAATAGGTCTTAAATACAACAACAAAAACAACAAGCCTTTATTTCCACTAAGTGAGAGTCAGCTGCATTAATCCTTTCTCCATTGTGTCCCATTGAGTGTCATATTTTCAGTTAATTATAATAAATTATGATTATTTTTTATATAACATGCCCAAGTTTTTTAAGTTTACCTCTATCTTTCTTAACATAAGTCAAATCTAAAACATCTACTCTCCTAATTGAGTCATCAAATGGTCGAAGTTTAATTCAACCAAACCATCTAAGACAACTCTCTCTAATCTTGTCTGCCACTGGAGCTACTCCAATGCTTTCATGAATATTCATTTCGCATTTTTGTCTCAGAGTGTAAAGTCACTCATCCACCAGACCATTCTCATCTCAGCAACACTAATTTTATGCTTCTTTTTTAGAAGCCAGCATGTTGTGTTATAAAGCATTGTAGGTCTCACCACCATCTTATAAAATTTTCCTTTTAAGTCTAAACGATACTTTTCTATCACACAAAGGCCCGAAGCATTCCTCTTTAACCATCCAACTTGAATTCTGCTAATTACAACCCCATCCATATCACCATCACTTGGAACAATAAACCCAAGATATCTAAAATGTTCGCTTATTTTAATGGCTTGATGAACTATTGTTATAACCCGGCTACTAGATCTACTACTACTAAAATTACATTCCATGTATTCAATTTTAGATCCACTTAGACGAAAGCCTTTGAACTCTAAACTTAACTTCCATAATTTAAGTTTTTCCTCAACTCTCTCTAATCTTATTTACAAGAAGTATATTATCAGTGAAAAGCATACACCTAGGTACATCCTCTTATAAATGTCCAGTAAGAACATTCATAACTAAAGCAAAAAGATATGGGCTTAAAGCTAATCCCTAATGTAATCCAACTAAATAATAAAAAAAAAAAATTGATCAATCTTCCTCATGTTCGAACACAAGTAACAACTCTAGTATACATATCTTTAATGACTCGAATATATACAATATCAACACATTTCTTTTCTAAAACTCTCCAAAGTATCTCTTGAAACCTCATCATATGCTTTTTCTAAATCATCCTCCAACTCTCTCTGTACTTCTTCGTCAAACCTCTCAATGAATGTATAGTTTCCACAGTAAACTTGCCTAGCATTAATTCAAAATGATTTTAAGAAATATTCATATAATGTCGTAATCTATGTTCAATTACTTTCTCTCATAACTTTAATGTATGATGCATTAACTAAATTCCTCTATAATTTGCACACACTTGTGTATGCCTTTATTCTTAAAAATAAGAACCTATAGACACTTTCTCCACTCATCTGACATTTTTTTAGTTTTCAAAATAAAATTAAAAAGTTTAGTAAGCCAAGAAATTCTCAAATATTCTAAACATTTACAAACTTATATTGGAATATCATCAGGTTTTAGTGTTGTTCCACACTTCATTTTCTTTAAAGTCACTTCAACTTCTATCTTACTAATGCAATAGTAGAAATAAAAGGTTTGTTATTATTTGTGATATTAAATTCACTAAAATCGATTGTATATCACAATCTTCATTGAAAAGTCAATGAAAATATCCCTCACCTATGTTGAATATATTCATATAAGAAAATCACGTTTTAATATTTATCCTTAATTCACTTAATTTGTACTAAATCTTTACTTTTCTACTCTTTTTTATTTGGCTGTTTCTAAATATATATTTCACCCTCTTTATTATGCATATATCCTTCACCTCAAGTCATAAGTGAATGAAAAATAAACATTCATAAAATTGATCATAAACAGTTGAGATAAGGCTACTTGATGTTGACTGAAGCTAAAACGAAAATTTAATAGATCCTATCTGCAACAAAAAAGCCCAGATGGATAAGAAAACAACAAAATATCCAAAACTAAAGACAGATCCTCTTTCTCTGTTAATATTAACGACCAAATGGAATAACAGGGAAAAAAAAGAAGTTAAAAGCTTTGAAACACATTGTTTGGCTTAACAGAGCTTTCCAATCACGAGATTTCCTCCAAACTAAAAATTCTCAAAACAGAAATGGGCTAATAAATGAAACGTTGGGTGTAAATTAATAAGAGATGTAACTCTTACCTACGATAGACAGTAAATGGAAGCTTCGTGAAAAGTGCTACATGAACACAATTTTAAAAAATAAATAAATAAATAAGGTAGAGGTCATTAGTTAAAGCTCTGTGAATGAGGAAGCTCAGTGAAAAGTGTTACATGCGAGCAACAAGGCTAACATGGCAACATAGAGCAGAGCAAGATCGTACATAAGTGATAAGAGCAAGGTGATCATGAATTAGAGAGACTGTGCAAAGGATTGCAGGTAAGCGAATAGAGTTTGAAGCACAAAAATGTCAATCTGTCTGATTTGCAACAAATTGGTCAAGATTCTGAATCTTGATTAGAATCAGATGATACTTATAATGAACAGTTTTAATTATCACACACTTAGCATGACAATCTTCATTAGTTAATGCTCTGTGAATAAGGAAGCCTATGTGATGCCTCATTTCTTTTCCTCGATGAAGTTGAAAAGAGAAAGTCGAAGAGAAGAAGAGGAAGCAAAGAGTCGACAAGTGGGAGAGGAAGTCAGGAGTCAGGAAAACAAAGGGATAATTCATTCTATAAATTCGCAAGTCGGGAGAAGAGGTGAGATCGTGAGGATGACTTATCGTGGGAATCGATCGACGCGAAGCGAAAGCAGGAGGATCAAAAGGAGCAAGTCAAGGCTTCCCCATAGCCAAAGGCAAAGATGACAACAGACGAGGATGTTTTTGTCGAGCTGAGGGGAAGACACGGCATCGGTGTTGAGCAGAGGAGGAGGAGGCGATGTCGGTGTCGTGCAGAGAAAGATGAAGTGGGAGGAAGAAGAAGTCGAAGGAGGGAAGTTATCATGGTTTGAAGCCTAAACTTTGACCGAGCCCTAGTAGAAGCAGCACAGTGCATGCCTGTGCGGGAACTAGTCTAGCAGGGAGGTGATTGAGTTAAAGCAGAAGGGTAGAGAATAAGTTGTGTGTTATAAAGTATTAGATATTAATAAAATATATTATTTAGTTGTATCTATGTAATAATACCATAAAATATTATAATAATAATAGATACATGAAAGATTTATTTAAAATATGAAAGTAAAGTCTACAAGTATTTATGTTAAAAATGAAAATTAATTATAAATGTTGATTTAATATTAGTTTATTAGTCAAATTAAAGAAACATGAATATTTTAAATAATTTTTTTTATCAACAATTAAAGTAACTTAAAAAAAATAAAAGATAATTAATGATATTCTTAAAATTATATTTTCACAATCTTTTAGGTAGCTAACTATTGAAGAAAAGATTAAGCATCTTTAAAGATTCAAGTCATACAGCATTGAGGTGAGTACTCATATTCTTATACTATGGTACTATTTTGTTTCTTTCAAACTAAATACATTATTTATTACTGTCACTAATTATATTAAAATCACTACAAACTCACAATTTATGATTCTATTAAATTTTTGTTTAAATTGTAGGAATGATATGCTTAACATTTTTTTTTAAAACGATCATGAATATTAAAAGTTATACAAGTATATTAATTGTTATGCAAATGAGAATAAAATATCCATTATTAAATAGTGATTTGCATAGTATATTTGTATGTGCATGTTTGGTTATGATGGAATCACTCATTTATGGTGCTAGCAGGAGAACGCAAAAGTATCAGTGCACGTAAA